CGCGTGGGGGTGGAGGGGGGGGGGAAGGGCATGGAAAAGAGTGAAAAGACTGGAATGGGGGGGTCAGGACTTGGCAGTTGTTTCTCACCTCCCCTGGTTTCTGACCAAACCACCATGGTAAACTTACCAGAAAGTCGAACCAGACTTCCTATGCCTTCCTCTCCCTCCCTGCCAATAATCTTCTCTTAAAATGAAAATAAAGGCAGACCATTAAAATATGCATTCTTCATCAATGTGTGTGGGTTTTTTCCTTCTTTTTCCAGATCCATTTGATGTTGACTCAGGCAAAGAATTTTCTAATCCCAACAGACCAATCAGTTCCCCAGGGTAATGAAATTTAACTTATAATAAGAAAAATAGTATTTAAGTTGTTTTGCTTTTATAATCATGAAAAATGTTTCCAGACTAGCACAAAGTAATGAAGAATCTGAGGACAGCATGAGCACTCCAGATGATGCCACTGAAAGCAGTGAGAGCAGTCCAGAAGATCGTGGTACTGCAAAGTTCCTGCAACAACAGCCAATAAATCAACTATTTGAAAAGTAAAAAAAAAAAACAAAACAAAACACACTAACCCCAACAAACAAACAACCCCCCCATACCACAACAACATTAAAAAAAACCCCAGCAATCCCAGAGTTGTAACATCTTGTATAAAGAAATTTTCTTGTGAACATTAAACAGTGTGACTTGTTCACCTGTAACTTGGTGCTTAGTAAATGGCTTCCTTTAGGTGAACCTCAGGCTACATGTGGGTTTATAGATCTATTTGTGCACATGAAGGCTTTAGATAATTTTTTAGGTAATTGTTTATGGCATGCTAATAATTATATAAAGAGCCTGAAGCTTAGTTACAAGTTAAAAACCGCTGTATTCTAATCAATGTGTCTGGAAAGTGGTTTATAGGGATTACTTTTACCTAATAGTGCATTAAGTAAACCCTTCCAACTTCTGGGCTATATTTCAATGGAAAATGTGACTAAGTTATTACCCTGTTCAGAGTACATACCATATAAGGTGCCTCGGACTTTTTGCAGGCTTGAACGGGCCCTATGTATTTCAATTACTTCATCTAGTTTAGGGTAAACTGACTACCTAAGCTTATGTCAACCAGAACAGCTTAAAAGGGGGGAAAAAAAATGCTTCCTGGAATTGTTTTAACATCTCAGTATGTCTTTTCAGTAACTTTACATGCTATTTTTTTTATTTACTCTGATAGACAGTCATAAGCAACACACAATGTTTTGGCACTTTATATTCAGAACTGTACCATAAAATTTCAGATAACGGGTTCAGCAATTCTGTCTGCCTGCATTCTTGTTTCTTGAAATGACACTCTACCAAATCAGAAATATACAATCTGGCCATTAAAGATTTGAGTCGGAGACTCTCATTAGCAGTAGTATCTTAGTTCACTCTTCCATAAGCTTGCCAGTTTGTATACTGAAAGTGCAGCTGTTAGCAGTTGTTTTCTGTACATTTAAATAGAGTGCTCTTTTGAGTTTCCAGCACCCAACTGGAACATACTTAAACCTAAACTTCAGCAACCCTTCAGTAGGAAGGACAATTTATAGCATTACCTTCATATATATGAGTTCTTCAAGTCACAGCAAGTTTTTTACCTCTTACCGTTCTTTTACTAGAGAGATCAAATGCCAGCCCTACTGGAGCTAGAATTGGGAGTCACAGCAGCAGTTCTAGTGGTACAAATATTCCATTTGCCTTTTAATAAGAAAAAAAGAAGTCCATGTAATTGAATTTGACAAGGACTCTTTTCCTTTAACTCAGTTTCTCAGTTACTTTCCCACCCCAAGCATATGAAGTCTTTCTCAAATCAACTGTTATAACAAGGATTTCTAGATAGTGACAAGGAAGCAATCCTACACAAAGAATTTTTAAAGGACTGAGAATAATGTGAGGGTGTTAGCTGTTCTAATTTGACGGAATGCTTTTATATTATAAAGCTATTGTAATCAAATAGAGACAAGCAGAACACATCTGAGAACAGCTGTATCACACTTCAAATAAGTCTCTAGCAGTAGCCATTTTTAATAAAAGCACTGAAGAAGCTACAGCTCAGATGGAACAAAGCTTTTCACACTTCAATTTTTTTTGCAGAATGATTTTGACTAAAAAAATACAATTAAAAAAAGCAGTGAAAGTTTAATAGAGGGCATATCAGCTTGACATACATGAAAATAACTTACATAATTTAACTGATTTCCTTTACAGAAGGAAACTGTAATTGCATAGAGCACGTCCTTTTCCTAAAAGCTATATACATTGACATGGAAAAAGGCACAGAAGTATTTCTGATAAACAAGTACCATTTAAAAATCCCCAGTTGCAGTAGGTCCCCTTGCATTCCTTGGACAGCTTCTATTATTGTTCGTATCATTCTAATGCTTGTGTTACTTTATGTTAACATGGTCACAGCAGTATGTTGGTCCCATTATGCACAGTAAGGAGTTGGTCTCTAGCTAGTCAGAATTCCGTAGGCTGTTTAAGGAACTGATAGAAGTTGAATAGCTGCAATTACCACTCAGAGCCCAAAGAAGGGCAGCATTCATGTTGGGGGTGGGGGCAGGGAAAAGAAATGAAGGCAACATCTAAACAAAAGGTAAGCGCAGTGTCACAGGCCTTAAAAACAGGACTTGCACTGAACTGTGTTCAGAGCCATTTAAATGGCAGTCTTTTAATCATTTTAATGAAGATAAATGAAACAAAGCCCTTTATATAAACAGTTTATTTACTCTAAACAGCAACACAGACAGAACGCCATATAAACACAAAGGAAGTGATGCAGAATAAGGATGCTGGCTGACTTTGGATCTCAGAGGCTCTTAAGCAATAACAACCTAGTTTCTGAAAGATAGAAAAACAAATTCAGGGAGGGAAGGGGGTGGAGGGTATGATTTTTTTCATACAGCCAGCTAGAGGCTAAATATAGTTCTAACATTTTAAAGCATGCCTGCATCAGATAGCAAAGTAACTAGAGATACTAGTGAATTTATAGAAGTATAAAAGTTTATAATTTTACAGCAGTTGAAATACTGACATCAATATTAAAATAAAAGCAAGTTTTACATAACAATCAAAAATACAAAAGACTGAAGGAAGAGACCCTGTATGAAAAAACTGGGGGCAATTCAGCAAATTTAGAACTGTATACAAGTGGCGAATATGGAAAATGGCACACATACAACCCCCTCCCCTAAGTGGATATTAATTGTACATAGCAACATTAGATTTTGCAAAAGTTTTGTAAACAAGTTCTTGCCAAACCAATCCCTTCCTTTTTAAGATGCTGCATGACAGACGCTTATGATGGTGCAAACTTCTTGGCTTGTGCTCGAACCCTCTTTTCATATTCCACTCTGTTTTGGCTGAATAGAAGAGAAAGAAAGTGTAATTACAGCTTGAGAAATCAGAGGCCATACTATAGAGCTACTGTTCTTCTCTTTCTCTTCAACATGAAACTAAGTCATTGCTAAAGGTAAAATCATTAGATAGGAATTCACTGAACACTACAATATATTAAAGGCTTTTCTGACCATTACTCTGACAATTTCCTTTGGAGGGAAGTAAGGTACTGTTTAACTAGTTACTTCCCAAATGTCATCTGTTGTCAAATGTTTGTGCTATCTCACTTCATACCATACCAGTCTCTATAAACAGGTTTGTGCCTGCTCTTTCTCAAGGCCAGCTGTACCTTACATGCAAGCATTCATCTGAACATTAAGTTTTCCATTCCCCATGTTAAGACCCGAGATCATTAACAATAAATTCCAGTATCCAAACAGCACAAAATGGTTGATGACAGCAGTTCACTAACAGTTGGTGGACTTCATATGATTTTAAAGTATCATCTTTACTGCTTTGGGGAGAGAGAGGAAGTGCTTTTTAAGAAACAGGAAAATAACAACAGTATGGTAGTTTCAGCCTTTATCTCTGCAGACCCTGACTCACAATGTTAGGTTTATCCTAACCTTCGGTTGAAAAAAAGCTAGCTCAACATTTTGAAAAAACACTATAGTTCATTAAGTTTAGCATACTTCCTACAGATTGATTAAACAAGCAAGTACTACTTCAGGGAACTATGATCAGTCATTAAGCCTCAGACTCAACACATAAAAAGGCAAGTTCTTTGTTTTCAGTTCCTGGGCCAACAAGGGATGGTAGTAGCTTAGTAGAGCATCCATTTACATTCAACACCATATTGTGTATTAGCTGTCAGAAGTGTCAGTCAAGAGCTAAACAAAAATTTTTTACCATGACTCTTGTGCCAAAGGTAGTTTACAGTGACTAGATTTTGCAGACAGCTTTGCAGTAAACTTAACTTACTTTCAGCTATGAAGGCTTGCTGCATTAAAAAAAAAAAAGGCAGCAAATTATATCCTCAGAAGTTGACAGTTTGGGGGCGGAAGAAGAAATGAAACCAATTTTGGTCACATCCAATGAACAATTACCAGCAGACTGAAAATACTCTAGTTTCTTCTCATAAACAAATTTACAAAGTTTGTTCTCCAATTTTTCTTTAAGTTATATTGCATTGTCACTTGAGAGCATAACCTAGCTGTTAAGTCTCACACCCTCAGAATCTACACAAAAGAATGCCTGCCATAGTAGACTCTGCATGCCTACAGGAGAGAGGAGGAAGTAGATTAGCACATTAGGAGTGCTAAACTTACAGAGCAACAGTACCAAAGCAATCCTGAAAATAAGAACAAGTATTCTTATTTTGAATACAAAGCTTATTCTTGAAGTTTAACAATTTGACTAAAAGACATCTATTTAAACACCACTGTATCTTCCCCAGGATTTATCAACTATGCAAAATTACAGATGCATACACAATCCTGCTCTGTTGAACTTCTACCAGTTACTCTTTAAGTAGTAAGAGACACACGCTCTCAGACTACAGAAATACAGTAACCCATCTGAAATACTGTGCATGTGCAAAAGACATGAAGAAGATAAATGGGAGACTATACATATTCGAAGTAACAAAACCCATGTGTAATAGTTTATTGTCAGTAGATTTTTCTTTTCTAGAAGCACTTACAATAAAGCAGAAACAAGACTAGCAAAGACTATTTTTGTACATAGATGCATATGGGAGGTGATAAAAAAATAAAACACAGACTATTTATACATGTATAAAAGTATATTATTCTTGCCCATATTCCCTCTGAGTGACTTTAAAACAAACAAACACAAACAAAAAAAAGAAAAAGCAAAAAAGGTGGGGGAGGCCTGCCTCATCATTACTAGCTCCCAAAGGTGCTGCCTATAATTGTTGCCACCTGACTGTCCTCCATATGCACTCAGTCCTATGAAGTCTTCAGTAGATACTTAAAAAACAACACTGAGTGAAGCCTTTAATTAAATCCAAGATACACTACCCATCCCAATGTTTCCTCTTCACTAGGATCCTATAACAGGCATTTTTGATATAGCTTGCATGTGAAGTCTCAAAATGCCATTTTTCAAATTTGGCACTCTCCTGGAGACTTGTTCTGTCCAGAATGGTAATTCCACATTTCCATCTTGGTCATTATTTCAGTAACTCTCAGTGCCAAAAAACATTTGTTTAAAGTGTTTTGCTCCCCTAGAGATTATAGATCAGCCATCCATTTTTAATGGTTGAAAAATTAAAATTAAGGCAAAAAAAAAAGTACTTGTTAGCTCACAAATTATCACCTTTCCTAACCAATGCAAACTTCATTCTGCTAAAGCTACAAGCTTTCTTTACTTCTTAACCTATTCTTTTGGAAGATCTAGTTTTCACAAAATGCTGCAAATTTCCTACAGCAACCACAGAAACTCTCCTTTATATTTCAGGCACAAGTGCTTATAGGTACCCACTACTGGACAGAAGTTAGTTACTTCTATACTAGTGAATGGGACTTGTCACCTAATTCAGCCTCCTCTATCACTGGTCTTATGACTGGCCTGATCACTACTACTAAGCCTTTAGGTGGAAGGATTCTATGTTGGGCTAGAACCAGGATAAGAATCAAGGTCTTAAATGAAGGAGTCTTCACACTTTATTGCTGTTACAATGCTATTAAAAGCTCCACTAGCCTATTAACCATGAAGTTACTGTTTTGCTCAAGTCTAGCACAAGCTAGGCATCTCCACACAATACCGCCACGAAGGTAAGAAAATTCCCCTGGTCATTCCTAAAAACATTTGCATGTAGACAGCTGTAGGCAGTATGACAGCTTTCAAGCTGATACACAAAGATACTTACCAGTAAATTGTGTAAGCCTCTGCTTGAGCTGGGTCTTGAATATTTGGTTCATTTAGAAGTTCTTGTATTCCTAACAAGATCTGTGGAAGAAGTAATATAGGTATTGATATTACCAAGAGACATTAAATTAAAAAAACCCTTAGAAACCAACCGTAGAAACACAGTGAACATCTTATATTCACATTAGATAAGCAAGCAAAGCAAATAAAAGAACTAAGAATATGTCTAAGTACAATTAATGACCTGTTTAATTGTGATTGCTGGCCTCCAGTCCTTATCCTCCTCTAAGATGGAGAGACACACTGTGCCTGAAGGATACACGTTTGGGTGGAATAATGGTGGTTCAAATTTACCTGATGAAGAAGAGAGAATTACTTGCATGCAACGCTAAGGCTAAGATCAGAGAGTTGGTTTAGGTTGGCAGGGGCGGGGAACAAAACAAACAAATGGCCAAAGACACCCACACCACTACCCCTAAAAAAAAAACAAACCTGCACAGATTTCTGGAGTTATTAATACTGGTTTTCTTCTTGGCTCAGCCTGCACTAAACCAGGAACTCCATCACATCTGTGGTATTAATCCAGGCAATGTAACACTATCATTGTGACAAGTAATCTTTTGGTTTAGGAATGGAAAATGACAAAATAGTTTGTACTAGTTGTGTGATAAAAACCTTCTAAACCAATCCTATCTTTACAGCCTCACATACTGCTATATAAAGGAAAGATACTGCCCTTCACTCATCTATTCTCCTCTCACTTTAAAATACTGAAAGTTCCATACAAAGACTAAGTTTCTAGCATTTTTTTCAGTTTCACTTTTCCTTTATGTATAATCAAGATGCACTGAACAAGAGGAACCAAGTTTAAATTGCAAGATATGACTGAAGGAGTAGGCTTGTGCAGCTCTCCTTCTGCCACTCAATCTATATTCTGGCATTTCTTTAATCTTTACAGGACTTAAATGCAACAGCCACCATCTTGAGTAATGTAATGAACGCTTGTTTAGCAATATATGAAATATCTACATGTTAGTGCAGTTTTCTAATCCATGTGACATCACAACGAAGTCTTGCTTATGAGCTGCTCAATGAAGTTCAGTAGGAACTCAGAAGCTGCATTGGAAAGAGGTCTTACCAGTCACATACACATCTTATTTTAAGGCATGACAGTTCATTTAACATTTGCGGGATGTGCTAGTTAGTATTTCTCAAGATATTCATGTTAAATATTTTCTAGTTAAAAGATATGTTTCCCCTTGTGTCACATGTATTCAGGTAGTAACAAACAAAAGGAGTAGCCAAGACAATTGATACAGCTGAAACACTAAAATGAAATGAGAAATGAACTGCTGTCAAAAGACCCACTTGTAATCACTGTCATTGATTTGAGATGGTAGCCAATTCAAGAACCAAGAATCTAGGCAAGCCAATAAATGTTTTCAGATTTCTGAACTAGGTTAAGTTTGAGATTAGATAAGTAAAATTCAAAAACGTAACAAGGAAACTAGGTATCTGAAGATACCTGTTGTACATAGTATCAGAAAAAGAACAGATCCATGTTTTAGAGCCAGTCAATGAAAAGGCTGAAGTTGATGGAACTTTTTATTTATTCTAAGTTTTCGCCTTCTGAATTCTTGGCTTAGAAGACCAACTTAACAGTAAGAACACACAAAGTGATTTGGTCTAACCACGCCTACCTATTAGTTTCCAAAGAGTGCTGATCAAGTAGCGAACACTTCCAAGTGGTGCTTTTGTCAAACTTTGAGGAAACCCATACAACAATCCCCCTCCCCTCTCAATTTTGTTACATTGAGCACTTAACTCGTTTCATCACAACTTTCTAAATGCAAAGTGATGGGTGGCAGAGAAAAAGAAAAAAGCAACCTTACTTTAAAAAAAAACCCAAACCTGTAAGAAAGTAATAGCCATTCATAGAATCTCATGGACTAGTTTAACATTGTTCTAATAAACCCATGTTTTTTAATCATTTTACTTACATTTTGGGGGTGAAGAAGGGTAGTCATCCTTGAAAAGCATCCGTAGTTTAAATAAGCCTCCTTCCCATGGTGTCTATAAAAAGTTAAGGTAGAGTTGAGATGACAGCAAGGAAAAGTCAAACTTGTGGAAAGAAAAATCTTATCAAGAGTACAGTTTCTCAGCCAAAGCAGAAGACATCCTTCTGCTACACAGTAGAAAATAGCTGTCCTACACTGTAGCATGCTGTCTAGACAGAGACAAGTTACCCTACCTACATCAGGAGTTGAAGAAAACCCTGCTTTTCCACTTCATTACAGCTAGTAAGTGTTGCTGACTCATCAATAGTCAGGACCATCGCCAATAATTCCATATACAAGTAAAATTTTCATAGTACATAGAAGAACAGAATACTTCTAAAGTTTTACATGATACACATACAATGAGGAAGGGGCCATTTTAATCCTACTTAAAGTAAGTCTGAGAAGACAGGATGTGGATATAACCCTTAACCATGTGGATGTAAATGGCTTCTATTTTGCCTCATGAGAATGTGGCTAAGAAAACCACAAACGAACAAAAGATTTGGACAGCACTGTAGTACTGCTACAGTTAATTTTAGGTTCACTAGTTCAAACTAAACCTGTCTGCCTTTGGTAGCAAGTAGTCTCACAGATTCCATCTTTCTGTGCAAGAGAAATTCTAAGAAGCTTTTTATCCCCATCAGAAACTGGGAAGAGCACCGATAAGAGCAGTTTCCATGCCACACAGCAGACCAAATAAGACAGCACTACTCAACAGAGTCATATGAACACAGAAAAACATCTAGCAAAAGCCTGTCTTAAATGTATACTTTCTTGTCATCTTACTCGGAAATAAGGAAAAAAGCCTCTCTTCTGACAAACTGATTTCTGGTAAGAAGTACAGAAATACAGAAAAGTTTATGGTATATGTAAAATTCAGACCACTTCTCTAACTTGCCCTTGCTATGGGAACACTGCAATGAAAGTAATCATTGGGTTCACTCTTTAAAACAAACTGGGGTAAAGATGGTCTCACATCTTATCAGCATAAATGATCAAATCTTACCCTCAGGGACAGACAGGTATGTTCGAAGACCACCTTAAGAAGAAATCCTTAATTCTTTTCTACCTGAATTATGTGATTTTTAGCAGAAGGAAAAAGAAAAGAGGAAAAAAAACACCAAAAAAACTCCACCTCAAAAAAGAAAAAGCACTCCACTGTTACTGGTATTTACTGTGCAAAGTCTCAAGCTAGAATAGGCAAAAAATGGGCTATGGAATACCAAGATAACTGTGTTTTAAAAAGTGAATGAGTATGATTACATTTGCTATAGTGTATTTAAAGAACTTGTTCTGAACAGTTGTAGTCATTTCTCAACAACTGGAAACATCTATTCTCCATACCTTCTCAGAGGAGACAAACTTATCCATTTTTAGAAGAGAAGAGGCTTTTGATAGAATAAACTTTTCCTATTTTGTTTGCTTTCAGTCACCGGGGAAGACAAATAGCTTTTAATAATTTTTTCAAGTAGAACACCAGAACAGTCAACAAAAAGTTTTACTGTCTTTCTGATAAAGCAACATACCTTATGGATTAAAGATAGCAGATGCTCAAAAGCCTTACTAAGATAACAGTATGACAGCAGTACCATCAAGATTGTATTGCATTACTAGACAGGTTGCAGATATTCCTGCAAATCCAATTCTAGGTAGTTAACAAGTGATTTGCTTCCAAAAAAAGTGAATGGAGATATCCAACCCAGGACTCACACCACTTTACTTCAATTTTTGATCTGGCTGACAAGAAAGCATTTTGGTGGTTTCAACTACTCATCCGTCTCAGGGGAAGCAGTACAACATGCCTCCAAACACAAAGGCAACAGAGTGCAACTGGTTGGTCTGGTAGAGATGAGCAAGGCATACTGCTTCTTGTTAAAGAGACAGTATTTTTACTCAAGTAAAAATGTTGATTTTTTTTTAAAAATAAATCTCTATGAGGAATCATATGTGCACAACTAGTCTGGTGTGGTAACTTTCCCAGTGTGATGCGTTTTCTAGGAGGCAAGAAGTTGGCTTTGAGGGTCTTGTTCACTCCATTTTGTAGTCTACAAAACTTTAAAGCAATAGCATAAAGATTTTATATGGCATGAAGATTTTATGTAAGTATTTAAAGGTGACATCTTGATAAGGTACATAACTGGCTATTATGAGGGATAATCTTGTTTTAGCAGAACACACGGGGATGACTTTTTCCTTATGCTGTTCAATTATTTTTAGGTTCTTTAGGAACTAACTTGAGCCCTGTGGAAAACTACCAAAGTATTGAGCTAAGTTATAACCATAACAACAATGCCACGGTCTGCATTAAACTGAGGCAGTAGTACAGCATCTGCAGGTTTTGCCTACACGCTTTGTCTTCTCACAATCTAAGAAATAAGATCCTAAGTGGACTTAAGCAAGTTAGCAAGAGGCAGTACAACAGGCAAAGCAACAAAAGAAGTCTCACATCCAGTGCAAAACACTAAAGTCCCAAAAGAATGAAAACCGCCAAGAAATTAATAGTATTGTCTCAGAAGAAACAACTGCATCCAATGAATTCAAGAATAATCTCTACATGCTAAGTAACATCTTGGAAAAATAGAAACAAGATTCTGGTCAGAATGAGATGTTATAATGGCAGTGTACAAAATCAAAAAGTTTCATGCATTAATGATTATTTCCACTTGAAAGTTTGCATTTGTCCTAACCCCTAGAACCAGATCAGGCTGAAAAATGAACAATTCTGGTTTCTACAGACTTTTTCCTTTCCATTGTTATTTTAAACAAAGGGACACAGAAGCACAAGTGAAATCAGATAAAAAGAAACAGTGTTAGAGACGACTTAAATCCCTAACACAAAAAGAGAAAATTCCATAAAACAGAAGGCAATGAGATTCCATGCTGATAATGCAGAATCATTTTCCATGAAATCCAAAAAGTTAAGAACAGTGCTGCAGCACTTCTCTAGAACTGAGAGATCTCACTATTTTGTGGACAAAAAAAGGTATTGGCAGTTAACCAACAGAGGCAACATTTTGGTAGTATTAATTTTCAAGCTTTAGGGCTTAAACCAGCATTTAGCAAGAACAGAAGTCACAATAAACCTTGGCATGAAGCAGAAGACAATCTCAAGTTTGCTCAATGTAGTATTCTCACACACTTCTGTGAAAACTTTTATTCTTAAGGTAGTCAGTGCCAACAGTTGAACATGGTTATGTGCTATTTTGTGCGATATCATTCTTAGCCCACTCTACCTGGATTCTAAAGCAGCAGCAGAATCCAAGCATTTCTATTAAACCATATGTAAGTTATACTCTCTGTTGTCAGTGTAATGCACAAGCAGGCTTATATTACTTTTCACTACAATCAAGATGTTAGGACAATGGTAATTCTTACCCCTTTCTTTCCTGGAATAGCACACTCCCAGTTCATTAGATTCATTGTGCCATCTGGATTTTTTGTAGGTACTGCTACAAATCCCTGAGTTAAGGCAAAAAGCCAAAGGGTGAGGATCTCAGAACATGTACTTAGAATACTTAACGACATATTTTATCTCTAGACAGATTTATTTCTTTTTGCACTACATAGTTTTAAGCAGTTGTATTTAAAAAATTTCAATTAATTAAAAAAATTACATCCAGATAAAGAAAAAATCATCATCATAACAAAATAACTGCAAAATATCAAAATAACTGCAGAGTCAGAAATCTGACAGTTCTTATACTTACAAATGGATGATCTTTTCTCCAGGCTTTTCTCTCCTGTGCAAGTCTGCTAAGAGCTATGCCAGACATATTCAGAGTCCCTCTAAAACAAAAATGATTGCTTTTAACATAAGCTTTTACTTATAGTGTAAACAATACATTATATTATCTGTTTATAAGCCCTGCTCACTCAGGAAATATTTTGGCCTCCGATTTTCACTACTATAGCCAAAGCACACATATTTGCACATCCTGCAGAAGTTAACATCAGGAATAACATCAAGCTTCCCCATGTCAACCACCTCTTAAGTTACTGGACTTAACCTACAAAATACTATCCCCACCTTGTGTTTCATATTTGAACCACATCTTAGAAATTACTTTGACAGCAGCTCGACAACAGAAACACTATTAGTAATAGGAAAAGTGCTCAGACATCCTACTTGTGTGACTGATAAGCACCTATCTCCTTACTACACCACAAAAGGTTTGTGTTTCTTCTGTAGGCAAACGCCTGTACTGCTCCTGTTTCTGGCACATGGCAGAATAAGAAATGTTTTTTTTAGACTGTAAATTCCCATTGAAAGCCAGTATTCTACACAAAAGCAACACAGGCAAATAACAAAATCGCCTCAGTTTTGCAGTGATGCCACTATAAACTTCTAGACAGCAGCAAGGAACAGACAGCAATACAGAACTGAGGAGCTAAGGAAGAGCCAGTGGCCCACTCACTCCACAAGGCAGGTTTTCAATTCCAGCATAAGCTGAATGATCTTTCTGCACCTTCACTGCCTTAGTAACAGCCAAGCACGGTGACTGAGGCTGCAGAAGAAACCCGTAGAGCACAATAGAACGCAACACTTCTAGACACAACGGTTGCAACAGAGCGGTGCTTTCAAATTCTGGGGAGAATTCTCCATTCACCCAGAACAGTAGTCAAAGTGAGAATATTTTTCATTGTCAAACTGAATCTAAACTCAGGGTTTCATTAGCCACATGGTCAAAACAAACTCCAATGACTGTTTTCAATCCTCCTCCCTACTGCACTTCTACCCTTTTAAATAAGAGCTGATACTTGGCAGTTGGAAAAGCCAGGCCAATTTGTTCTCAACTCCACACATAGCTAACAAGCCTTTAGGACAGCCAGAAGAGTAGAATTCTTCCACTAAACAAGCTCACAGAATTAGTGAAAGGAGTGTTAGCACTCTATTAAAATAAACATTTAAACACTGGTTAAGTATTATGCAAAATTCACATTCTATAGATATGTAATTACTTGTAAGAGTATTGCAGTCTACTACTATAACCATATGAATTGTAGCTCACAGAGATCCTCGTTTTAAAAATCTCGTATGTTCACGCTATACCCTTTAGCATGATGTTCATGCTGAAAAGATTTACCAGGCACTGTCCTATTCCATCTAAGATATGTGGATATGTTCATCTGCTATACCGTTTAAAAATCAGAAGGCAGCATGCTTCCAATTTAAGTATTTACACATCATCAGAAGCACCTTAGCAGTGCAGACACCTTAACTGAAAGTCTTTAAAAGCACCAGATTAAGAGTTTTATGCAGTTCCTAGAACAACCGGTATTTCAAACCCCTCCTCCTAGCTTTTTTTCCAAAGTCAGTTTTGCATGGATGGCCATAATCTGCAATTTCAACTTCAAACTAGCAATTAAATTCACGTCAGATAAAGCTTTTTAAAAGGGACCATTAATACTCAGTAAACACATAAAAAATTTCTACATTCAGTCCAATATTCTTCTAGTATTTCCAGTACATGCATCTGTATCTTCGTTATGTCAGAAGATTTGCAGGATTTAGCCAACACAAACTGTACATACCACTTCAGATTTTAGTCTGTTCACACGTGAGAGTGGTAGAGCCACTGAAAAGATACTGTCAGAACACCACCACCCCCCTCTCCCATAACCAAATTATACAGGGAGTAATTTTAAATATTTTTTAAGCCCATGCCTTTGCAACAGATTTAAACAAACTACTGATTATACGGCAGCATTTCAGTTGTGCTGTTAGTATCTGGTGGTCCACTGTAATACTACTAACATAATAATTTGGGAAAATTATTTGTGCTTATAAACCATTCAAATATTCTAAGATATTTTAGTAACTCAGCTATCTTTTCTGCCAAGAAACATATTACAGCATGCTTTCAACTACATGAATTATATTTCCTGTGGCTAACAGCCAATTAATTACATGGACTTCGAGGGAAATGCCATCTTTTCAGAGGGCATATAAACAATGTATGTCCTACAGAACACTGCCAATCAAGTAACTTCTCAACAGAAAAAAAAAGTTTTCACTCTCTGTATCCTGCTTGCTTTTGCAAGTGGTTATGCACTATACTGTACCCTAGTAAACTAAAGATTTTCTTATGTTCTATAAACACCTTTTCAAATCTTGAGGTGTTTAACTTAGTTAAGCACTGATAGGCTACATCCAAAATTTCAGTGTATATGAGAGACTACAGGCTTCATGTAGATGGTCTCCACGGGCTTCAGTTACCCTCACAAAGGCAGACAAGCATCTAAAACCTCATCACAAACTACTACCAAGTACAGATTAGAGACAAAGGCGACTGAAAGCCAACTTCAAAAACTAAGATCCCATTAGGTAAGCATCCCCTCAAAAGCAAATAAATGCATTTACAAAGTGCCAATATATACTCTCTAGCAGCTCTTCAGTAAAAGAATTTAACTTTAGTTCTGCTGGAGCTTGAGATAGGACAAACAGAGACTGATCATCTCAGTATCTATTTTGGTCTCAGAAATTATGGAGTAGCAGGAAGCAGTGAGATACAAAGTGGGTATTAAACCTGAAGATATGATATTCTCACTGCTACTTTTATCTTCTTCAACAATTTATGAGTACGGTTTGTTTGCATTTTTTTCCTTCTTCTCTTTTGGAATACTAGTTTGCACAGATATCCGTACATTAAGTTTAGTTCTTGCACTCACAAGGTGTTTCAAAAGCTTACAAAACATCTCTAATAACCTGAAATAGTTAAAATCGGGAAAAAAGAAAAAAAAGAAAAAAACACACACTACACAAAACCCCCAAACAGCACATACACCACCAAAACCACACAAACAAGAAAACCAAATATCCCAGTTCTTAGGGTTTTGTTCTGTTGTTTTTTGTGTTGTTTTTTTGTTTGTTTTTTTTTTTTGTGTGTTTTTTTTTTTTTTAAAATTATCACATCTGATTTGTTTCCTTCACCTTAGAAATTTACTGCTAATGGACAGAATTGAAGTCCCAACATATTTATGCACTACATCTCTGGAAAGAACACAAACTTTTGCACTAGAGGAAGTATGCGAACCCCACCTTGCAGGGATTACACAAGCCTAAGAGACCAGTCTTCATGTTTTGTTTGGTTTTAATATCCCCAAAACCACCCCAGCATTAAGATGTAGCAATGTCCCTTTAACTGCTATCACCTCATTAGAAAGTTAACATAAACTTCAAAATTTACTCAGCAGCTTGCTTCTGCTGCTATTACTAGTACCTAGTTTGGGAAAAAAAAAAAAAGACACAACAAAACCAACACACTCATCATACATGCAAATTTTGTGTTCCATTACAGATCATCCTACCCATATATACCCTCTAATGGGCAGGGAAGAAGAACGCAACCTACTTACAAACACAAAAAGCAAGTCTTGCAAAGACTTCCCATGCCACAGGTACAGCAATCACACCCACAATTCTGACCCATGACAAGTCTCTAAATACATCAACAACATGCTCTTTAAGCCTCAAGAGCTTTCAATAGCTCTTATTAATTCCAAACAGCAAGAAGAAAAAAAAAATAATCATTAAGATTGCTAGCCTCACATTTTTACTTTGCAGGTTAAATACTGACACAGGAAAAAATTATCAGTTGGAGTAGTTTGCCCCCAAACTGTACAGACTTTACTTTTCAGAAAGGCAGAGAAAGCCAAGGGCTGAAGTTTAATCAAAGCACGCTAACTCTGGACTAGAATAGAAAGTCTCCTCCTGCCTGCGGCATGAAAAAGGTAGAAGAGGGAGTACTACCCGAACGGCTACCAGAGGCGCAAGGAGAACAACAAAAGGAGCCGCGCGGCAATAGGTCTCGGT